AGGCCTCCAAGATGTCCTCAAGAAGCCTCCCAAAGGCTCCAAAGAAGCCCCCCCAAGGCCACACAGCGACTGGAGTGTAATGTCATTTTTCCCTCCTGGGCGAACTGCGGCGCAGCGCCAGCCAGGTGGAAGTTGGTCACAGCGGCGCCCATGATTAGAGCCGGCGCTGGAAAGAAATATGGGGAGGGAGTATGAAAAAGGAGTGAGGGGGGAGAGGCCCCAAAAAAGTCCCCAAGAGGCCCAAGGAAGCTCCCAGGAGGCCCCCAGGAGGCCCCCAAGAGGCTCCCAAGAGGCTCCGCGACGACGTGACTGCACGTGCTCCGGACGTGCACCCCGCGAAGCGAAAGGAATCCACGTCCGGAAATGACGTGTTGCCGGAGGCAGGGGGTTCGCAGCGGAGCGGAAGCCCTAATGCAATGGATCCCATGTGCCCAATGCTTGCATGATTGCCACGTGTTGTACTGTGTTGCATTATTATGTCTCCCCCTTACCCCCCCCCCGGAGTCGCGCCACTTCCATCGACCCCAAGGTGGAGGGCCCTTTCTGGGGCCCAAAAACATACAAAAACCTATAAGAAATCAGCAAATTCGGCCTCTTGGGCCTCTTGGGGCCCCAAGAAGGTTTCAAGACGGGCCAAGGTGGCCCCAAGACAGCCCAAGCCGGCCTCAAGACGGCCCAAGACGGCCCCAAGAGGCCCCCAATAAGGTCCAAGAGGCCCCCAAGAAGACTCCCGAGAGCGCCTCCAGAGGCCAAAATCTTTGATTGTCCTGTCGTTTTGGGACAATTTCAACGTTCTCGCTTTTTTCGGCTCTCAGAAGGCCATGACGGCCCAAGCAGCCTCCAAAAAGGCTCCCAAACGGCCCAAGAGGCCTCCAAAGAGGCCCCAAGACGGCCCCAGAGGGCCCCGAGACGGCCAAAAAAACCTCCAAGACGGCCCAAGAAACCCCCAAGCAGAGGACCCCAAGAGAGCCCCAAGGCGGCCGCGAGAGGCTTCCAAAGTGGCCTCCGAAGTGGCCAGACGGCGTAAGAGCGCCCAAAGACGGTTCCAAAACGTCCCCAAGAGGCCCCCAGAGGCTCCAATGAGGGCCCCAAACGGCCCAGGAGGGCCCCAGACGGCTTAAAGAGGCCCCCAAGGCGGTCCAAAAAAAACTGAGGCGGCCCACAAGGACCCCAAGAGAACCCCAAGGCGGCCGCGAGAGGCCCCCAAGACGGCCTCCGAAGGGGCGGAACTGCGCAAAAACGCCCCAAGACGGCCCAAGATGCCCCCAAGAGGCCCCGAGAGGCCCCCAAGAGGCCCCCAAGGAACTCCCAAAAAAAACCTAGAGGCCTCCAAGAAATCCCCAAGGCCACAAGGCCACACAACGACTGGAACGTAATGCTATTTCCCCCCCTGGGCGAACGACGGCGCAGCGCCAGCCAGGTGGAAGTTGGTCAGGGCGGCGCGCATGATTAGAGCTGGCGCTGGAAGGGGATATGGGGAGGGAACGTAAAAAAGGAGGGAGGGGGAGAAGCCCCCAAGAGGCCCAAAGAAGCTCCCAAGAGGCCTCCAGGATGCCCCCAAGAGGCTCCCAAGAGGCCCCGCGACGACGTGACTGTACGTGCTCCGTGCACCCCGCGAAGCCAAAGGAATCCACGTCCGGAAGTGACGTGTTGCCGGAGGCAGGTCGCGCAGCGGAGCGGAAGCCCTAATGCAACATATCTCATGTATCCAATGATTGCGCAATTGCAACACATTGCAATGTGTTACGTTGTTCTTTCTCCCCCCCTACCCCCCCCCCTGGAGTCGCGCCACTTCCGTCGTCCCAAAGGTGGAGGGCCCTCCTTCGGGGGCCCAAAAACCTACAATAACCTATAAGAATTCAACACATTCGGCCTCTTGGGCCTCTTGGGGCCCCAAGAAGGTTTCAAGACGGCCCAAGATGGCCCCAAGACAGGCCGAGACGGCTTCAAGACAGCCCAAGGTGGCCCCAAGAGGGCCCATGAGGCCCCCAAGAAGGTCCAAGAGGCCCCCAAGAAGACTCCCGAGAGCGCCTCTGGAGGCCAAAATCTTTAATTTTCCCATAATTCTGAGACAATTTCGACGTTCTCGCCTTTTTCGGCTCTCAGAAGGCCATGACGGCCCAAGCAGCCTCCAAAACGGCCCAAAGAGGCCCCCAAGACGGTCCAAGAGGCCCCTAAGACGGCCCAAGAGGACCCCAAAACGGCCCCAAAGCGGCCGCGAGAGGCCCCCAAGACGGCCTCCGAAGGGGCGACACAGCAGAAAAACGCCCCAAGACGGCCCAGGACGCCCCCAAGAGACCCCAAGAGGCCCCCCAGAGGCCCCCAAGGGGCCCCAAGAAGCCCCCAAGAGGCCTCCAAGAAGTCTCCAAGAAGCATCCAACAGGCCCCATAGAACCCCCCCAAAACCCACACAGCGGCTGGAGTGTAATGTCATTTTTCCCTCCTGGGCGAACTGCGGCGCAGCGCCAGCCAGGTGGAAGCTGGTCACGGCGGCGCCCATGATTAGAGCTGGCGCTGGAAGAGGATATGTGGAGGGAGTATGAAAAGGAGGGAGGGGGGAGAGGCCCCAAAGACGCCCCCAAGAGGCTCAAAGAAGCTCCCAAGAGGCCTCCAGGAGGCCCCCAAGAGGCTCCCAAGAGGCCCCGCGACGACGTGACCAAGACGGTACAGAATGGCCCCAAGAGGGCCCCTCAAAAAACCCAGACGCCCCAAGAGGGCGCCAAGAGGACCTCCAAGAGCGCTTCCAGAAACAAGCATCATTGATTTCCCATTGAGTTTTGAAAGATTTTGGCGTTCTCGCCTTTGTCGACTCCCCGAGCCCCAGGACGTCCCAAGAAGCCTCCGACATGGCTCCAAGACGGCCCAATCAAACCTCAAGAGAGCCCTCAAGAGGGCCCGCAGGCGGCCGAAGAGGGCTCAAGCCAGCCCAATTAGGCCCTCCAAACACCTCACTGTACGACCTCACTGTACGTACTCCGGACGTGCACCCCGCGAAGCGAGAGGAATCCACGTCCGGAAGTGACGTGTTGCCGGAGGCAGGTCACGCAGCGGAGCGGAAGCCCTAATGCAAAGTATCCTATGTATCCAATGATTGCATAATTGGTTGATATTGCATTGTATTACATTATTCTGTCTCCCCCCCGTAACCCCCCGCCCCAGGCCACGCCACATCCACCGACCCAAAGATGGTGGACCCCTCCTGGGCTTCAACACCAACAAAAACCTAATTACGGGAAACCGATGATTCGGGCCCCTTGGGCATCTCGGGGGTCTACGCCGACGTCAAGACGGCTCAAGATGGCCCCAAGACGGGCCAAGACGGCCCAAAGACGGCCCAAGATGGCCCCAAGAGGCCCTACAAAGACCCCAAGACGCCCCAAGACGGCCCCCAGAGCACCCCCAAGAGCACCTCCAGAAGCCAAAAACCATTGATTTTCCAATGGTTGTTTGAAGATTTCAGCGTTCCCGCCTATTTCGACTCTCGGAGGTCCAGGACAGCTGAAACAGCCTCCGAAGTGGACCCCAGACGGCCCAAGAAGCCCTCAAGAGGGCCCCAAAACGGCCCAAGAGGGCCCCCAGACAGCCCCAAGAGGCCCCCAAGACGGCCCAAGAGTACCCCAAGACAGTCTCCGAAGGGACCAGACAGCGCAAAAGCGCCTCCAAGACGCCCACACGGGGCCCCAAGAGGTCCCCAAGAGGTCTCCCAGAGGCCCCCAAGAGGCCTCCCAGACGCCCCCGCGAGAACCCAAGAGGCCCCAAAGAGGCCTCCAAGGGGCCCCCAAGAAATTCCCAAAGGCCCGACAACGACTGGACTGTACGTGCTCCGGACATGCACCCCGCGAAGCGAGAGGAATCGTGTTGGGAGGAAGGGGTTGGGAGGAAGGGTATGAGCAATAGCATCCGGATGCAATGCCCGATACCTTCGAACGCCTACGTGTAATGATATCCCCCGTCCTCCCGACCCCATCCCCCCAACTCCCTGATAGTTGTCCTCCTGAAACCAAATTCAAACTGGACCAGGACAAAAGACGGATCTCTGAAAACTGACGGCTCTGGAGACAGAGCGTCGGGTGCCGCGGCGGTTCCAGAGCGCTCCGGAACGCTCCGAGAGCGTTTCGGAACGCTCGGAGCGAAGTATCCTGGTCCTGGGCCCGCATGATGGATCCTCCTCGAAATTGGCTCCTGGTCTTCCCCAGGGGCGTGCTGGAGTCGGAATTTCGAATGGGCATCCAGCCGTGGTGGCGAGAAACCGAAACCGAAATAGGTCCCCAAGGACCTCGCCCGGCATGCCGAGGTGCCACCAGAAGGCCAACAGAACGCTTACAACAGAAAGCCTCCGAACGAGCTCGGCCCTCGATCCTGGGCTTATGTTGCCCCCATCGTACTCACGGACCAAATGCCCCAAAAATATTCGAACACCCGAGCAAGTGTCGATACAGTGTGGAAACAGTGCCGGACGAGTGTCTCCCAGGGCCCGACACGTGAAAACCTTTGAGTTTCGGTCGTTTTTTGGTGATGGAATTTCTTACTGGTGATCAAGGCTAAACAATATGTTGGAACATCATAATCCTCGGCTGCACGTGAGAGTGGCCCTAAACAAAAATGGCCTTCGGTGCGCGACTTCACGGGGGACGAGGGGCGGCCGAACCCAGGCGCGCCAGCCGCTGCTGCCGCTCTGCGCTCTGCCATCGGAGAAAAGTCACTCTTCCGTCCAGTCGAGATCCCTCTGCATGTCACTATCGCGTCATGTCCAGTCACTCCAATTGGTGAAAGGGGCCCTGGGACACACAAATAGATAGACACTAGTCCGAGGATTCCCCATGTTTCCATATCTTCTCATATTTCCTTAGGGATCGACGATTGCTTTTGTCTGTGTGTTGGTTTCCATTGTTGAAGTGGGCCCGCAGCAAAAGTCACTCTGGCGAGAGGTTACTCTTACGTCCAGTCGAGACCCCTCCACATCGTGATCTCTCCACGCCGACCCCTCGCGTGCCAGGGGCCCTCGAACGCCACGACGCGAGCCGCCCCCAGGCGGAGGCACTCGTCCTGGGCGGGTCGCGCAAGGAACTGACATCGACGAGGGCGAAGGCGACGAGGAAGGCTCGACGAGGACGAGGGCGGCAGCGCGATTCCGGCGTGGAGGGGAACGAAGGCGCCGAGGAAAACCGACGGGGACGAGGGCGAGGGGCAGAGCTCGACGCTCGAAGCTGTTCGTAATCTTCGGGTTGGAGGTTGGCGGCGAGGCGGCCCTCTGCAAAAACAGCCAGGGTTTCGCCTTTCACGAAATTGCTGCGTCAACCGTTCTGGTCTTAGGTCGGGCGGCATGTCCCCCTGCAGGGGGATGTTGGACGAAAAATCAAACATATTCCAAACATATTCCATAAAAACCAAACATGATTTGTTATTATTATTGTTTAAAACAAAATCAGAGGCAGCATCGTGGAATAGGGATTCCCCGCTGCAATGTCCCGGCGGAGATCCGCGGGTCACGCCCGGAGGCCGCGAGGAGGACATCCACCTCCATCCTCCTTGACGTCAACCACCTCATCCTCCTCAGTCCTCCGCAACAAGCACCTGCTCGTGCACCTTCTCAAGCAGCACCACCATGGCATCCCCCTCCCCATCGTCCTCCTCCTCGTGGCCATCCTGGTCCTCCTCCTCCTCGTCCTCGTCCGGCTGCTCCTCCTCCTCCTCGTCACCCTACTCCTCGTTCTGCTGCTCCTCCTCCTCCTCCTCCTCCTCCTCCTCCTCCTCCTCCTCCTCCTCCTCCTCCTCCCCTACCTCCTCCTCGTCCTCCTCCCCCTCCTCCTCCACCTGCTCCCACACCAGATCATGGATAAGACGCGGCAGGCTGCAATAATTAAACGGCGCCGATGCACCTACATCCGCGGGCAGCTTGCGCGCGGGTGAAGGCGCAAGCAATCCCCGCGGCATCGCCCCCCGAACCTCAAACTAGGCGGTGCAACAGACCGCTTCTGTCAAAGCCTCGTTTCCCCCGTCGGGGGCGGTTGACCCACCCATCCCGCTAGCAGACCGTCGAGGCCTTGGATAAGGAATCCAGGGTCTGGAGCCTTGTGGAGATCCACTTGCGTGGAACGGGGGGGGGGGCAGAAGTTGTCCGCCCCTAATCATTGTGAGCTCTCTACCCTCCCTCCGTCTCCTCTCCCCCCCTATTTCTTCCTCCCTCCCGCCTCCCTCCTCCCTCCCCCCCCCTCCCACCTCCCTCCCACCCTTCCTGCGCCTCAGATCCCTGGGGGAGGGCGGCAGGTGAGCGTGCGGTTGCAGTTGCGCGCCCGCGGGCGTGTCGCCCAGTTGCGGTTGCGGTTGCGCGCCCGCGGGCGGGGGTCGAATTGTATCGCCCAGTTGCGGTTGCGGTTGCGCGCCCGCGGGCGGGTCGGTGTCGCCCAGTTGCGGTTGCGGTTGCGCGCGGAAATGTGTCGCCCAGTTGCAGTTGCCATGCGAACTTCGCCCAGTTGCGGTTGCGGCTGCGCGCCCGCGGGCGGGTCGAAATGTGTCGCCCAGTTGCGCTTGCGGTTGCGCGCCCGCGGGCGGGCGTATCGCCCAGTTGCGGTTGCGGTTGCGCGCCCGCGGGCGGTTTGAAATGTGTCGCCCAATTGCGCTTGCGGTTGCGCGCCCGCGGGCGGATTGAAATTTGTCGCCCAGTTGCGCTTGCGCGCCCGCGGGCGGGTTGAAATGTGTCGCTCATGTGCGGTTGCGGTTGCGCGCCCGCGGGCGGGTTCCAATGTGTCGCCCAGTTGCGGTTGCGGTTGCGCGCCCGCGGGCGGGTCGAACTGTGTCGCCCAGTTGCGGTTGCGGTTGCGCGCCCTCGGGCGGATTGCAATGTGTCGCCCAGTTGCGGTTGCGTGCCCGCGGGCGGGTTGAAATGTGTCGCCCAGGTGCGGTTGCGGCTGCGCGCCCGCGGGCGGGTCGAAATGTGTCGCCCAGTTGCGCTTGCGGTTGCGCGCCCGCGGACGGGTCGAAATGTGTCGCCCAGTTGCGTTTGCGCGCCCGCGGGCGGTTTGAAATGTGTTGTTCAAAGCGCCCTCCTGACGTTCAGTCAGTCAATCAGTCGGCCAATCAGTTAGTCAATCAGTCAGTCAATCAATCTGTCAGTCAATCAATCAGTCAGTCACCGGAGGGCACGGAATTTCACCCGGCTCCGCCAGGAAAAACACGTCCCCTGACTATTTTTTGACTATTAATTTTCCTCCTGTACAGGGACAGGCCTGCCTTAATTCTGGCCTCGCGGGTCCTCACCGGCGGACTGGGCAAGACTATAAAGACTATACGTATGACTCTGGCGCCACACTCCGGCGGACCGCTGGTGGCTCGGCACACTCGGCCGGCACGCCCTGCCCGTGGGCAAGTCCAAGGCCAACGCAGCCAATGGGTCTCGCAGGGGCTCGGACGCTCCGAGGCATCGCGGAAGGCAGGGCTCCTCAGAGAGAGGCCGCCCCTCCCGCGCCACCGCCGGCCTCTCTGGCACAGCAGCGTTGGACGCCATCAAGACCAACAGCGAGGATGCGCGACGAGGGCGCAAAAGGCCTTGGAAGGCCATGATTTTTGTTTCACCATGACCACAAAACCGAGATCGATGCTCTCGACCGCGCGGTACGTGGGCTCCCGCGGGAGACTACCCTATTATCACGATAACTCTTCGAGCGGGGCGCGGCCATCGAGGGTGAAAGTTTTTTCGAACGCGGCGCGGCCATTGACAGCAGCCAAGGATAGACCAACGAGGCACGGGTGCAAGGGTACCCCTGGGAGGGCAGGCCTCCTTAGAGCACTGCGCCCCCCTCGCGCCACCACCAGCCTCTTTGGCAGAGCAACAAAGGATAAGCCTCCTCCTCCTCCTCCTCCTCCTGCCCCTCCTCTCTCCTCCTCCTCCTCTTCCTTTTCCTCCTCCCCCTCCTCCTCCTCCTCCCGCCTCCTCCTCTCTCCTCCTCCTCCTCCTCCTCCTCCTCCTCCTCCTCCTCCTCCTCCTCCTCCTCCTCCTCCTCCTCCGCCTCTTCCTTTTCCTACTCCCTCCTCCTCCTCCCACCTCCTCCTCCTTCTCCTCCTCCTCCTCCTCCTCCTCCTCCTCCTCCTCCTCCTCCCTCCTCCTCCTCCTCCTCCACCTCAGAAAGAGTGCGTCCTGTGGTCGCTTGGAGGGGGGGGGAACCGGACACCCCCCTCCCTTGGATGGAGGGGGGGGGGTCGAAACACCCCCCCTCCCCTCCCGTGACGGGGGGGGTTCGAACCATCCCCCCTCTTCCCTCCTCTGCGCCCCGTCTCCTCGGGCCGGCGCTTGTGTCGGCGGCAGCTGGCGACGGCGGCGGGGACGACGATTTCCATTTCTGGGCCGGCGCCGGCGCCTGCGGCGGCGGGCGGCGGGGAGCGTCGACGAGGACGACGGTGGTTTGGGGTGGTGGTGGTGGTGGTGGTGGTGGTGGTGGTGGTGGTGGTGGTGGTGGTGGTGGTGGTGGTGGTGGTGATGGTGGTGTGGTGGTTTGTGGTGGTGGTGGTGGGTTGTGCTGCTGGTAGTGGTGGTGGTTGTGGCGGTGGTGGTGGTGTGGTAGATAGTGGTGGTGGTAGTGGAGGGTTTTTGTGGTGGTGGTGGTGATGGTGAGTTGTGGTGGTGGTTGTGGTGGTGGTGGCTGTGGTGGTGGTGGTGGCTGTGTGGTGCTGTTGGTGGTGGTGGCGGTGGTGGGTTGAGGCGGTGGTGGTGGTGGTGGTAGTGGTGGTAGTGGTGGTAAGTGTCGCTGCGTTCCCGCCGTCGCCGGCGCCAGCGCCAGCGCTGCTGGCCACCGCCAGCGCCGGCACCGGCGCGAGGAGGAAGGGGGGTTTGAACCCCACCCCCCCTGGGCTGCCTCTGGTCATCGTCGCTGCGTCCCCGCCGTGGGCGCTGCTGGCGGCCGCCAGCGCCGGCGCCGGCGCCGAGGGGGGGGGCGGGGGGCTTGAACCACCCCCCCTTGGGACGGGGGAGGGGTGTTCGGGGGGGGGGGTTGGTTGGGGGGGGGGAGTCCCCCTGGTTTTGATCGACGGCGCCGAATGTTGGGGGGTGGCCCACCCCCTGGTTCGAAACGCGCCACCGAATGTTCCCCAGGCAAGCGCCCGTGAAACGCGTTCTCTCCCACTTCAACCTCCGCCTCCACCTCCACCTCCTCCTCCTCCTCCTCCTCCTCCTCCTCCCTCCCCCTCCTCCTCCTCCTCCTCCTCCTCCTCCTCCTCCTCCTCCTCCTCCTCCTTCTCCTCCTCCACCTCTCCTCCTCCTCCTCCTCCTCCTCCTCCTCCTCCTCCTCCTCCTCCTCCTCCTCCTCCTCCTCCCCCAGGGGGCCAGGGGGCAAGCGCGCATAGGAGCCCGAGGACGGGGCAGAACCACCGGAACCCGCTGTTCCTCGCCTGACCTTCCAGAACAGAAGAGATATCCCTGCAGTCTGGTAGACCTCTCTGAACTGCACTAGCCTCGACCGTGGCGGAAGGTCAGGGTCCAGGGTGAAACCTCCAGGGCCCGTTTTTCCTCGCCTGACATTCCAGAGTGCAAGGAGTCCGCCACCGTGCCCTTAGCACACGGTGGAGTGCGGGCTGCTGCTACAGCCAGAGGCAGTTCTAGATGGTTAAGGGCCCAGACACCCAGCTTCCCGCACGCTCCTGGGCACTCCTGGGGATTTCCGGGAGCTTTTGGGGTGTGTCGCGTGCGTCTTCTGGCGTGCGTCTTCTGGAAGCCAGGAGTGTCCGTCAAAATCGCCACCAGATCCTCAAGATGTCAAGATGGCTTGAAGACGGCCAGAGAGGCCCGCAAGAAGCTCCATGAGGGGCCCAAGAGCACCCCAAAGAAGCAGAGGCCCAAATCTGTGTTCTTTAAATGTTTGAAGGAGTTTAGCCGTCTCGCGTTGTTCAGCTCTTAACGCTCCAAGACGGCCCAAGAAGCTCCGAATAGCGCCCCAGGACTGCTCAGGAGGCCCCCCGGAGGGCCCCACAACGCCCCAAGAGGGCACCAAGACGGCCCAATAGGCCCCCCAAGACGGCCCGAGAGGCACCCAAGAGGGCCCCAAGATTGGGAGCACGAACTTCGAGCCTTCCGCCCCAAGATGGCCCTGAGAGCCCACCAGAGGCTCCCCAGACCCCAAGACCCCTCCAAAAGATTCCCGAGAGGCATCCCGAGAGACCTTCGCTTGCATCCAAGACGCCTCTGAACCACAGCCCAGACACGGTGGCGGGGATGGCCCGAAGGCCAGTAGATGGCCCTGCAGACTGGTAGGCCTCCCTGAACTGCACGAAGCCTCGGCTGTGGTTATATTTCTTAGCCTTCCTGGAACTGGAACGTCAGGGTCCAGGACGCAGTTTCTTCTTGGAGACGGCCAGGAGGTCCGAACTGGATGGGGCCCCACAACATCGAGGTGGGGACGAGGCCAAATCCGTTTCAAAATCGGTCCCCAGACCCCTCCCAGGGTCCACCTGGTGTAGTTGCTCACCCTGGATTTGTTTGTTTCACGGTCCTGGGGCCCGAAAAGGTCCCTGAAGGCCGACAAAGGCTCAAAGCAGCCCCGAGCCCAGAACCTCGAGCCGCTCCCCCCTCCTCGAAAGAGAGGACCACGACGGGCTGAGAAAACGAGGGCGAAGGAAAAGCACTAAATGCGCTCGCGCGTCCAGGAATCGCGCCCGGGGCAGGTGGCCGAAGCCGCGGCCTCTTCGTGGCGACTTCTGGCGCGCCCCCGATCGTCCGTGGACACGCCCAGGCCGTGGAAGACGTCCAGAGCGGCCCAGGGGCGCCCGCCGGCCCAGAAGCCGGGCCGCTCCGACGGCCTGGGCGGGCGGCCGAGGGGGGGGGGGGCAGGGGCCCGAGGTGGAGCGGCCGTGCTTCGCGACGAGGGCGCAGCGGCCTAACAGCCGGAGGTACGATCAAGGAAACGATAGTTTCAGACGTCTGCAGCGTCCCAGGGGTTCCTGGAAACAGTCCTGGGCAACCTTCTGCTGTTCACGTTGGAGGGGCAAGCGTGCTCAAGAGACTGGGCCAGCTTGCTGGCAAGTTGGTCAGGAAACGCAGGAAACGCTGGCCCTGCTTTTCGGGAGGAGGTTTCTTGGAGCCCTTGGTGGCCACATGGAAGGAGTGAACCCAGGCAAGAGTGACCTTCGGCGGCAAGGACTTCCATGCCCTCTGCCGCTGCGGGGTCGGATGGCTCCTCGGCCGAACCACATGCACCTGGCCCCCCAACGCCGACGGAAGGCCGCGAAGGCGTGCCGTGCTCGGGGGGACCTAAGCATGCCTGGACCTCAGGCTTGAGTACGCCACGAATGCACACATATACATATACTATAAATATACAAATACATTTACATATACATATACCTATACCTATACTATACCGACGCCTATACCTATGCCTATACCTATACCTATACATATACATATACATATGTGTATACGACTGTATACAAATATGCAAACATGTGTACATACACATGCGCATACACATACATATATATATATATATACACATGTATATGCACATATTTGTGAATCTCTCATACACACAATCTCTCCGACGAGCTATGCATGTACCTTCAGGCAGGGCGGCGGTGTGAATCATCCATCGCCACCCTCCGCTGAGGTCCAGGAACAATGCATTGCACGGTGTCTGTATATTTTTTTGGGGCAGATTGCGCGTTGCGGGCCCCACCTTCCTGACAATTAATATCCTCGCAGCGGCATCCCTGGTCCCGACTGGGCCCCTGGACCGTCAGAAGCAGCCCGGGATGACAAACCTGTCCCAGCGAAGGGGTCCAGACCTCTGGGGAGCCATGTTGTGAACAAAATTATGACGTTGAATGCCTCGGAAGGTTCGAGGCTCGAGATTCGAGGCCTGGGCCCAAGTCTCTGGCTGGGGACCTCCGCAGGCCTCCAGGGACCTCGGGAGGCATCCGCCCAGAGGCTGCTCTCAAAGCCCGCCGACCCCAATGGCGTGCGAGAAGGAAACTCTCCCACCTTGGCCCACCCGCCTGCGTCTGACGTTCACCGCGCCGCCCCCTCTGACCCCCCCCCCGATGTCGCGAATCCACTGCAACATCGCGAAAAATCACGACTGGAAGTCTAAGCCCCGTAGCCTGATCTGTCTGCGGTGTTCCTCGAGCCCGACCGATCACCCCTGAAGGCCCGGGGGCAGAACCCCACCGAAAGCGCCCGTTGTGGAAAAATCCAGCGCACACTCGTCGCCTTGCCCCACTGCCTAGCCTACTGTCTGACTGGACAGGCGCTCTAGCCAAAACCCTGGATGCTCATTCTGGGGAGCTTCTTGGAAGCACTCGCTCCACTCTTGCGCCGAAGCTGCGTCGAACGTCCGTCGAGATGAGTCGACCCTGAGTCGAACCTCAGTCGAACCTGAGTCGAGCCTGAGTCGAACCCTGAGTCGAACTTGAGTTGACCTGGGGTCGAACAGATCCGTTGGGTGGGCCCCAGGAGGGTCCCCCAAAAAGAGCATCCGAACATCCCTTTGGCGACCCCTCCGACGCCCCACCTCCGACCAGGGATTGCCGAGCCGCGGCGCCCCGACCAGCAAACCCCCTCGGCTGCACAAGGGGGGCCCGGGCCCCTCCCCGACACCCCGCCTCCGCCCGGGAGTCCCGGCGCCGAGTCGCCATGTCTCCCGCGCGGGGGGGCAGCAGGCACTCGCGAGAAGAACTCTTACTGACTACAAGAGGCACTTGGCCGCCTCATGCGGCTCCTCCCAATGCTCGTCCTACTTCTCCTCCTTCTACCTCGTCGTGGTCAGCGTCCTCATCTTCAGTGTCGACGGCACCGGCCGTAAGGCCTTCGCAATCTTACTCACTATAAGAAGCGCTGGGGCACAGCATTCGTCTTCGAATGTCCTGAGGCGCCCCCCGAGCTTCTGCAGAGCGCCTGCTGGCAGGCAGGCATCTTGCTGGATGCGCCAACGGTGTCCCGCGCTGGACGGAACGAGATTGCAGAACAGGCCGATCGAGAGGAGCGAACCCCAGTGCTGACCCAGACATGAGACGTCCTGATTTTTTCAGGAGGGGGTCCTTGGAAGTCCCGACCCGTTCCCTGGGACCGGTTTTTCGTCCTGAGTCGTTGTTTGACGCTTCCGAGGCCCGGCGAGGGCCCCCCGAGGCCGAAAATGGCAAAACAACCTGCCGCCCCGATTGTTTTTTACGACGCGATCATGTCTGGGCCTGTTCGAGAGGGACCGACCTTTCGATCGAGCCACCTCGGCCGCGCCCGGAAGGCACCCCACCGACCGGCACCCTCCCTCCCACTCGTGGGGCCGACGACTGCCCGCCCCTCTGCTCTGAAAAGGCCAGTGCCCCAGACACCCCCTACGCTGCCCATGGCCCAGATGATCCTGGTGATGAAGTTTGTGATGATGATGACGACGACGACGACGACGACGATGATGATGATGATGACGACGTTGACGATGATGATGATAATGCTGGTGATGATGTCAATAAAGATAATGTTGAGGATAGTTGAACTGATCGAGGCTGAAAGAGAGGGGGGCTTCAGGGATGGTCGGTCGAGCCATGATCATGATGGTGATGGTAGCGATGATGATGGTGATTAGGATGATGATGATGATGATGATGATGATGATGATGGTGATGATGATGACGACGTTGATGATGATGATGATGATGATGATGATGATAATGCTGGTGATGATGCCAATAAAGATAATTCTGAGGATAGTTGAACTGATCGAGGCTGAAAGAGAGGGGGGCTTCAGGGATGGTCGGTCGAGCCATGATCATGATGGTGATGGTAGCGATGATGATGGTGATTAGGATGATGATGATGATGATGATGATGATGATGATGGTGATGATGATGACGACGTTGATGATGATGATGATGATGATGATGATGATGATGATGATGACGCGATGATGATGATGATGATGATAATGCTGGTGATGATGTCAATAAAGATGATTCTGAGGATAGTTGAACTGATCGAGGCTGAAAGAGAGGGGGGCTTCAGGGATGGTCGGTCGAGCCATGATCATGATGGTGATGGTAGCGATGATGATGGTGATTAGGATGATGATGATGATGGTGATGATGGTGATGATGATGATGATGATGATGATGATGATGATGATGATGATGATGATGATGATGATGGTGATGGTGTTGGTAATTGTTGTGTCCGTGCGCTGCGTTGCCACGGCGCGTGCGTGGCGGAGCGTGCTGGCTGTCTCGTTCCTCTTTCCTTCGGGAGAACTGATTTCGAGAACGCGTGCTTGGACAAAAACCTTTGGACAGGTCGGACCCCCCAAAAAGAAACATTTGAATCGCCCAAAGAACCGGCCCCCGCCCCATGACACCGGCCTGTTTGAACGGGGAAGGGACCCTCCCCGGAGGGGGGATGTCGAACTGGGCCCTCCCTATCCGACGGGGTGGGGGTTAAACGACCCCTTCCCCTCCCTTCCGCGAATAGAATCTAGAATCCTATTAGTGCTCGATCGAGCTTGAATCGAATCCTCTTCTAGCTGGATCGACCTTAAATAACATCCTAGTCGGCAGTCGGCTTCGATCCAACTCTAACACCATCGTGCCATAGCTGGATCAAACCCTCATTAGCTCCTACGAGGGCTTGATCCAGCTCTAACTGAATCCTACTATAGCTGGAATCATCTTTACTGAGATCCCAATCGAGCTCGATCCAAGCCCACTGGGCTCCTACTGGAGCCGAATCGATCGAGCTCGAGCTCGATCCCAATCGAGCTCGAACCAGCTCTATAAATGGATCCGAGTGGTGCTCGTTCCAACTCAAACAGGATTTACTATAGCTGGACTCAACTCTGGCTGAATCCTTCAAGGGCTCTACCCAACTCTACTGACATCTTACTCGGGCTTGCTCAAGGCTTTGATGACATCCTACTGAAGCTCAATCGTCGTCGTCGTTACCCGACGGCGCCGGCGCCGGCGCTCACCGTCGTCGGTTGCGTTGCCATTGGGGAGGGAGGAGGGGGGGGGAGGCGGCTCGAACCCACCCAACTACAAGTCAGGCCCCACCCCCAGCTCCCACTTCGAACCCCGACGGGTGCGGCTCCCCCCTGGTCCGAACACTCCCCCCTTCATTTCAGGAGGGGGGAGGGCTGGTTCGAACCCCACCCCTTCCCAGCGTGCGCAGAATGCGCTGTGTTCTCCTATGAACACTAGCGGAGCCGGAAGCGGAGGGAGGGCACAGGGGGGGCAGAGGAGAAAAAGTGGAGAAAAGACCAAATACATCGAGGTGACGACGGCAATCAAGTAATTGACTGACGTCGGGCGACATTTCGGATAGCTCTGGTGTGGAACAGGTTCGTGACATTGACCTTCGCGAGACGGAGAGCTGCTGGCAGCGAACACCGGACCGCCCATTTCAGCATGGAGCGGCCTTCCCTGCGTCCACGGTCTGGGTTGAAGTGTGACAGGGTCAAATGTTACCTATCAGCTGGGCGACAGGCTGCCATTGTTTTCCTGGCGTGCACCGCGCTGAACTTGATGATGGGTCTGGGTTCTCTCCCTCCCTGTCGAACCACGTTTCCGTCCGCTTGTACGCAGTCCTTGGAGATGAAAAAGGTCGAATCAATTCAATGTGCCCTGTTTGGGTTGGGTTGGTTCGAGCCCGTACAGGAGCTCAGATTTAATGGCTGCGCGTTGCACTTGCAATTTGAATTTAGCAGGGCACCTGATGTCTCTCTCTCTCTCTCTCTCTCTCCGAAACAAATCCACCTTCTTGAGCATTGCCATGCATACCTCAATTCTCGTTTCCCATTCCCGCGTGTTGCCGAGTGTTCTT